AACCCTACGTTTCACTGAGTCTCGGGTCTCTCGCGATCCTGGAACGATCTTCTTGGTCGGCTTCGTCCCCAATTCAGCATTCCCTCCGCTCTCGTTCCGGCCGGCATTGAAGGCGTAGTCATAGGCGTGTACGGGTAAGTAGGAGGCATCTCAATCGGGTTCCACCCCGGCGGTAACATCGGACCAAACGGATTCGAGGACGAGTATTGTCTCTGCGTGCCATACGCTCCGCTTCCTTCGTACGCTCGGGGTGCTCGGTCGGATACCTTCTCGTATAAAGGGGTTGGTGACGATGGTCCGCCGGTTTGAGCTTCAAGGGTTGAGCGAGACATGGTCTCTCCTCTCCTGGAATTACGGGTTCCACTCCTCGGGGATTCCAACCGTCGATCCAACTCGTTCATTGAGTATCGAGGCCAGGTCTCCACCATTCTTGACCCTAGGTCCTTAGACTGGGAAGCGTTGCACGCCTACAGACCCACTAGACATAGCAATCCGTTGCATTGCTTGCCGATAGTGTTGACGACAAAGGCTTGAAGAGCCGGGCCCCCTTCGCCGTCTCTTCACTCGTAGGCGTCGTTCCGTCCCTGGCAGGGCTCGTTCCATGCCTCGTGGGCGTCATTCCTCGGTTCACCGGCGTCGCTCTTTGACTAGTTGGTGCCGTTCCACGGTGCACCGTCGAGGTAGGAGCTTGAGAAGTCGCACTTGACGCCCAGTGACGTTCCACCCCGCTCAAAGGTTCAGCTTGAAAGTTGGTCGTACTTCGAAAGTGCGACCAAGATGCAGGAGTGTCGCTCCCATGCAGCCTTTCAACGTCCTCCTCCTGCGAGTAATCAGTTGATGTCGCTGTGGACGCCTCCCGCCCAGTCTCGTCCGCGTGAGTTAGCGACGGTCGGGACGGGTCCAGCGAGACGACACTCCCCTTCGCGTTCCAGCACCCGCCGTCTCGGTCTCTCGTGCCTCCCTTGACCGTGCCTGCTCCTATCTGGGAGTCGGTCGATCTGCTAGAGTCCCGAGGAACGCTTGGAAGCTGGCTCTGCCCTTAGATGTCCCCAACAACGTCATGAACATTCTTCGGCTCTCCTCAGCTCGTGGTGACGCGCCAAACAAGCTTTCGTCGTCCTCCTGGGCCGCTCATTTCCTCAGCCCTTACCGCTCGTTCCGCTTGGACCTCAGCCGTCTCTTCGGTTTCACCAAGCGTTCGGGGATCCACTTCGCCGCCTACGCCTTCCGTAGCGGGGGCGTCAGCGATCTGGTCCTCGTCAGCATCCGTGCGAGGCGCTGCTCTTCGTACTCTATCGGATCGTTCCAGTTTAGGGAGCTCATCTCGTCCTGACTCCCTTGCACCTTCGCCTTAGTACTTCGACGCTAAGGACTCCCGAGCGGCTCTCTCCGCTTCCTCTCTCTTACGCTCCTACGAAAATTGGCTAGAAGATACCCTGCTTCTCCACCAAATTGTCGCGGTCCCTTCTCTTGTCGGGGTCGTGTATCTTGTGAAAGCCGACGTAGGAACTTAGACGTAATAGATCTGTAAAATATACTTGTTGCATATTTGTTTTTCTTGAGCACTTCTCGTAAAAGAAGGAAATTCACGACTGAAAGCTCACGCACCAGTCCTCTAACTTACCAAATTACCTCCTACCAACACCAGTACCTCTAGTTGTCGTTCGTGAACAAAGTCAGCGTACCACTGTCTGGACTCCTTCGTTCCAGTTTAAACTAGGGACGAGGTAGTCGGCGACAGGGAACGAGACTGATCGGGCCCGACACTCTTCTTACGCCGGTCGCTAAATTGCCGTAGACAGTCGTCCAGAATGGCGAGTCCTTCCTTTAGCCGAAGACCGTGACAAACCCGAGGAGATTCAACTTGGCACCTGTTTGGAACTGTGAGAGTCTGATTCCTGTAACGCCTACCGACTAGCACTATAGAGTCCAGTGATGGTCTAGCGATGGGGCTCTAAGCTACGCGAGGATGTGACAATTTCATTTTTGTACGAATTGCGATAGATCTACGAACGGAGAAGTAGACTGTAAATTTAGATACGGTAATTTATATTAATACTTTCCCAGCTTGTATCACGACACCCATTTTTTACATATCATAATGTCTCATTTCGGTCTACAAGAGAAGCGTGACATTGGTCTTTCACTGAAAAGAAAAAGCCTACATCACGCTTCTCTTGTAGACAGCAAAATGTCATGCTTCATTTGTTGCTCAAGGAATTCTAGCAACAAATGAAGCGTGATATAATTCTGGTAGAATTTGCGGGGCGCTTACAGTACGCAGTCATCACAAGAGAAGTGATCTAGTTTACTTGGACGTGTGACCTAATTTGACGGTCAGGTCACTAAGCGACGGTCCATCCGGAAGCACGGTTGGATGCTAATCAAATGTGTTGACCATCCACACTGCGAAATGGTAAGTAATCTCTATAATTTCTTAGACTAACAAAGCCGTATTTCACTGAGAAGCTATGGATTTTACTACTACTACTACTGTGTAGGTAAATTCCTTCCACCCGAGATAGATTCTTTATTACAGTCATTATCTACCTACTGTAAGACCTGTTACCAATTAAATACAGGATTTGCGTCTCGGTGACGTACCTTGTGCACGCTTGC